CTGCCAAGCCCCTGTAGCAAAGGACGTGCCCATTCTGTAGCACCGTATAGGCCTCATCTGTCCTCCTAACCTCACTGAGCCCTATTATATCCCATTTAACACCCTCTAGCTCCTCGAATAGTACAGCTAGACTTCCCTCACTAGATAAGGTTCTAGCGTTAAACGTTGCCAAGTTCAGGTTCCAATGGCGGCCTGTCCGGATCCAGAGATTCTTAGCACCCTCTGCTGCGTTGCAGATCTGACCGCCGCCGTGGTCAGTTGCTTCGCAGCTGCTGGGGACTGAGGGCCGTGAGTTATTTGACGTAAGCATGTGGGAGGTAGTGGCCAGATACTGCACCAGGGTGGCCAATCCTGCTCTGGTGAGGGAGTGCGTTCTCGGCGGTGTTTGCCGGTGAGGCCGCACCCCAGGCCTCCTAATGCAGTTCCATCAACACGCGGATTTTTTTTTTTTTTAATCCGGTTGGGAACTGCGTGGTACCGGGATTTGAACCACGGACCTCTTGCATGCGAGGCGGATGCTCTAACCACTACGCCATCGCTGATCTCGACAGGCGTCCACTCTGTTTCAACTGAGGAGGTGTAGGCCACATAGCCCGCTATTGCTGGCACCGCGCCGATCCCTCTTGCCCTCTCAGGCCACGGTTTGACAGTAGACATGCCAACGACTACGTATCCCGCCGTGGCGATGTCGGTTCTCAAGGACCTCCGGTACCTCGACCCCCATTCGACGGCCGCCGTAACAATGATGACGAGATTATAACTGATTACGAGCCGGTCTTCCGACATCGACCACGCTCTCCTTCTCCTGCCCGGTCACCTTCGTTGCAGCGCCGCACTTTTGCCGACACCAGAGGAGCGAGGTCACCCAGCCCACACCGGGGAAACTGAAGGCGGCGACCTCAGGGGGTAAAGTTGCAGGCTGTCAAGACGAAGAAAAAAAAGCCCCCATTACTTCCACCTCAGGACGCTGTAAAGCCGACAAGACGTAATACCGACGAAACTGTGACCCCAGGCCTTACCGCTCTTGTGGATGGACAGCAAGTCAAAGCTTTAGTCGACACCGGGGTTGACTTCTCTATTATCAGTGATGACCTTGCCGTACGCCTCAAGAAAGTAAAGGCAGCGTGGACGGGACCTCACTTAAGGACGGCAGGCGGCCAATTACTGATGCCTGTCGGAATGTGCACAGCAAGGCTCGACATCGGTGGCTCTACTTTCGTGGCGACGTTCGTCGTTCTCGCTTCATGCTGTAAAGACCTGATTATCGGAATGGATTTCTTGAGAGAACTTTCCGCCGTCATCAACGTCCCTGAGAGTGTCATTACGTTTCGCAACAACAGCCCTACTTTAGTCGATTGTTCAGAGCCGAGACATACGTCTTGTTCAGGGCCTTTGCGTCTGACGAATGACGATGTAGTCGTCCCGCCACGATCGTGTACGCTTGTTTCGGTGGCAGGGGATGAGCCGTTTGACGGTGATGGTATTGCTGACCAAATAAGCTCGCTGATATTTAGCCACGGTATTTCAGTTGCTCGAGGTCTAGTCACTGTCACTGCGGAACGCACAAACTTGCTGCTCACAAACTTCAGTACTGAGCGCCGACATCTCCCGAAGGGTACAGCCGTCGCTTACTTTGACAATACTGCAGAAATCCAAGGCAGTTTATCGGCCCTAGACAAAGCACCTCAAGAAGAATCAGTACCTAATCTTGACGTTGGTACTACGTTGTCAAGGGACGAACGAACGAGACTTCTTGAGCTGCTAGCTGAATTCCAGGACTGCTTTTCATCGACATAACGGGTCGGTCGAACGCCGCTTACAAAGCATCGAATAATTATCCACGACGCAGCAAGGCCTATACACCAGAATCCTTATCAGGTGGCTCCAAAGGAACGGGAAGTGATACAGCAACAAGTCGCTAAAATGTTTGAAGATGATGTGATTCAGCCATCACAGAGCCCGTGGGCATCGCCTGTAGTACTTGTTAAGAAAAAGGACGGTACCCTGCGTTTTTGCGTGGATTACAGGAAGCTGAATCAAGTGACTAAGAAAGATGTGTATCCGCTTCCACGTATTGATGACTCCCTCGATAGGCTTCGAAACGCTCGCTACTTTTCTTCAATGGACCTCAGAAGTGAATAATGGCAGATCGAGGTAGACCCAAGAGATCGGGAAAAAACCGCTTTTGTGACGCCGGATGGTTTATATGAACTTAAAGTTCTACCCTTCGGTCTGTGCTCAGTGCCCGCTACTTTCCAAAGGCTCATGGACACTGTACTTTCAGGGTTAAAATGAAAGACCTGTTTAGTTTATCTAGACGATGTCATAGTGTTTTCCCCAACTTTTTACGAGCATCTCAAAAGGCTAGAAGTTGTTTTACGAGCCATACGCTCCGCAGGCCTCACATTGAAAGCAGAGAAATGCCACTTTTATTTTGAAGAACTGCTGTTTCTTGGTCATGTCGTCAGCTGCACCGGCGTTCGGCCTGATGCCGAAAAACTTGCAGCTGTGGCACAGTTCCCAGTACCGTCCGATAAGAAAGCTGTCAGGCGCTTTCTGGGCCTATGCGCTTACTATCGCCGGTTCATCGCCGACTTCGCACGGATTGCGTCGCCGTTAACTCGCCTCACTAGAGACGACGCCATCTTTGAGTGGAACCACGAACAGCAGGCAGCGTTTAATGACCTCCGCCAACGTCTTCCAACACCTCCAGTGCCTGCTCACTTCGACGAGCAAGCGCCAACAATGCTTCACACTGACACAAGCAATGTAGGCCTCGGAGCTGTGCTTGTGCAGTTGCAAGAAGATACGAAACGAGTGATCGCCTACGCAAGCAGGACGCTAACACGCGCTGAGGTCAATTATTCAACAACTGAGAAAGAATGCCTCGTTGTGGTCTGGGCAGTTATGAAATTTTGCCCGTATTTGTATGGCCGCCCTTTCAAAGTTATAAGTGACCATCATTCACTCTGTCGGTTGACTATTTTAAGAGATCCAACCGGCCGGTTAGCACAGTGGAGTCTGAAGTTACAAGAGTTTGATATGACGGTCATACACAAGTCTGGGAAGCGCTATACGGACGCCGACTGCCTGTCTCGATCACCAGTACAGTCAGCTTCTCTTTCTGACGACGATGATATGGCCTTCCTTGGTGTTCTCGACGCATCCACGATTGCCCAACAACAACGAGGTGACCCTGAATTGCTTGATTTGATTAATTACGTGGACGGACGTTCTTCGAGGGCACCTAGAGTCTTTGCAAGGATATTATCGTCGTTTTGCTTACACAATGACGTCCTCTACAAAAGAAACTTTTCATCTATCGGAGCTCCCTATTTGCTCGTTATTCCTGCACTCCTTCGAACTGAAGTGCTCCAAGCATGTCACAACGAGCCGACGTCTGGCCATTTAGGCTACACTCGCACACTGGCAAGAGTACAGCAGGGACACTACTGGCCACGACTCACAACAGCCGTCAAGCACCACATTCACACTTGCCTCGATTGCCAGCAATGCAAGTCACCTCCAAAGAGACCCGCCGGTCAGCTGCAACCAGTTCAGGTTCCACGTACACCGTTTCACCAGATAGGAATGGATATTTTGAGACCCCTTCCTACTTCTACTGCAGGGAATCGCTGGGTTATAGTCGCAACAGACTACCTAGCCAGGTATGCCGAAACAAAAACTATCCAAAAGAGCACCGCAGTGGAAGTGGAGAGATTTTTCATAGAAAATATTGTGCTGCGCCACGGTGCCCCGACTATCGTGATAACAGACCGCGGAACAGCATTTACGGCAGCTCATTTAGACCACATCCTGATGCTTAGTGAAACGACTCACCTTAAGACCACTGCGTACCACCCGCAAATGAATGGACTAACGGAGCGCCTCAACAAGACGATTGAAGACATGCTGTCGATGTACGTGGATGTCCAACATAAGAATTGGGACGAAATTTTACCCTATATCACGTTCGCATACAATACGGCTAAAGAAGAAACGACTCGCATGACTCCATTCAGCTTGGTTCACGGACGGGAGGTACAAACTATGCTTGATGCGATGTTGCCACATGAATAGGACGCTACCGACACAGGCGCTGACGTGTTCACTGAACGCGCGGAAGAAGCTAGGCAGCTCGCCCGCTTACGGATCTACCAGCGACAAGAATACGACGCAGGCCGCTACAATGCTCGCCGTATAACTGAAACGTACAAAACTGGTGACAGAGTGTGGGTTTGGACACCCGTACGAAAACGTGGACTGTCCGAGAAGCTGCTAAGGCGATAATTCGGGCCATACCGAGTATCGCGCCAGCTAAGTGACGTCACCTACGAGGTCGTCTCCGACAGTCCCCAATGCCCGAGGCGTCGCCAGCACCAGCCTGAACTTGTTCATGTAGTGCGTATGAAGCTGTATGTGAGTGACTGACTGCACGTTAAAAAAAATACTGTGGGTCTGAATCAGCATTGGGGCGATGCTCTTATAAGGAGGGGCAAGTGACACGTGTTTATATGAAAAAGAACGATGATAGGAATGTTTTGCAGATTCCAGCTAGTGGGTCAGGCGGTTTTTCGGGACGACAACGAAGCATGCGTCTTGCTGTACAGCTGATCCTGAATACACTCTTTTCGCTGCCGTAAGCTGCTGTCATCTTTTGTTCGCTTTGCACTGCGACAAGTCCACGAAGAAGCAAGCACAAAAGAAAGTTGTGTGCATCTGTCTACATTTGCCTTAGTCAATTCGCAACGCACACGTATGATCTTGTCACACAGTGTTCGGTGAGAGCAGTACTTCAGAGAGTATAGGCGCAGTGTTCTCACGTGGTTCTCAAAGCGTGGACACGTGTACGTTTTGCTAATATTAACACATTTTCTGCAGTATTACATGATGCATCATCTCGTGATACGATTATGAGGCATGCCATAGTGGAGGGCTGACAAAAACATACCACCTCAGGTACTGTGCCATGCAGTGAGATCGCACAGAACACGGGCCTCTTGCATTTTGCATTGCTTTTATTGAACGAACAGGTTCTATCTATTCCATCCAAAAAATAATAATAATAATTAAGAAGAGCAACACTATGTGTTGCATGCTTCAGTGCATCAACAGATCTGTGAAAAATGCAGGAGCTCTTTTTCAACAGTGTGCCTGCATCATACAATTCAGCAGGACTGCTTAGGAATTTCACGGCTGCTGAAAACCTACTACAAATCAAATGAAACAGTGTGGGTGCAGTGGTCCAGCACATGATAAATATGCTGTTTTCTAACAAAAGAAGATAGTATGACACTTTGTTAAAACCGACATTTGCTCATTTCAGTGAACTGTGATGACTTATGAGCATGGCCAGTGTTCCATGCTACCCTCCAACAACCTTGCCCATCTTTGTTTTTATAACAATGGTAGGAAAAACAAAATAACCAAAGATTCATATGAATAGTATGCTGTAGCGCATTTTTCGACTTGCCATTCTCATCGCATTGGAGAGTAATGAAGTTCGCAGCTGCAAGCCACCAGCCGCGAGCTCCATAAAATATTTGCTTGCTATCACCCTTTACAAAAAGAGTTTCACTTGAAAACAAAATCTGTGCACGTTTTCTGGCTTAAACTTAAAACTTAGCACTGAAGCCATAATTTTCATTCTAGATAAGCTTTGAATGGCAAATGCTGGAAAGGTTTACACAATGATTTAAAGAGAGAATGTAACTATGCATAGTAGTGTTCAAACAATCAAAGAGGCAGGGAAAATCTGCAGTTATAGATGAGTTCACCTTTGGCTTGCTTTTGTTATGAGCTATGTCAATGCCTCTTTTAAGTACATCAAAAGCATAAAATGCTTATGTTAAAACAGAAGCAAATTAACAATACTATTTAATAGGATACTGGATAAAAATGAAATATTCTCAAACTTTTTTCTGCCCCACAGAGACATACAGTCAGGTGTCTCCCGTTTGTGTGCCAAGACAATAACAGTCAGTACTGTAGACAGAACAGATATACATGCAAAGTCAGAACATGGCAGTGTCTGCTACTAAAAGAAAATATTATTGAAAAACCTACTGCTGTTGCATTAAATAGAGATGAACCTTCAGCCGTCATGAAAAAACACAAGGAACAGTGATTCTTCAACGCATAGGATATATTTCTTTTGTGAATACAGCACCTATGTACAATGAGACTATCTTGTCACTGTACTTAGTTACAAATGTTGCAGGTCCCAGAGACGTAATGTGAAAGTTATAACTGCCTATATAAGATAGCAAGTAGTACCGTTATTAACATGCAGTCTTGTGCATCACAACAAGGGAACACTACAAGAGCTACATATATTTTCTAATGCACACACAGTACATTGTCCAATGAAGCTTACTGCAGAAAGTGCTTTTAGCACTAAACACACTCTCCAAGTTTCAATCCTGAGCATACAATGTGCCCTATACTATCAAACTTGCGTACTTATGATGTGCTTTATGGCATTTTTCTCTTCTACATGACTGAACATAAAAGCTAAATGATAATTTTAAAAAATCTAGAGAAAAACATTTAAAAACACCTAGTTTTCAAACTTACAGTGGTCACCTATTTATTTACTCATACAAAAGAAAATCATTTTTTTTCAGCCCTGGGGTTTTCAGGCTTGGCGTTCCTTTCAGCTTTCGGGTCCCTTTCAGGTTTGGAGTCCCGGCTGCGCATACTTGTGAGATTGCCTCGCGTCTGTTTGAGGACCATCTTTGTCTTGTTCACTGAAAAGGGGGGAAACACATCAATGCTAGCACGTAAGTGAGAAATAACACATTGGACCAAGTTTGCTGTACATGAAGAAATTCTCAACTCATACTAAAGGCATGATTTATATCCAATGAAAAATTGATGAACAGAGTAGAACAAACTAGAATATACCAGGAAATGAGTGGTAACAATAGGCAAATACACACGTATATTTTACCAGTGTAGCAAAAAGGTAGACTGTACTGTGTCAGTTGAATTCATTTGCTGCTACTATTTTTGCTGCACAGCATAACAATTGCCTAATCCTGACGGTCTCAACATATGGTTCACTTTCCCTAACCTATAGCCCCTAGCACATGCTGCGCTTGGTATGTTATACCGCGGAAGTGTGTGGCCAATTGCACTCTGAAGTTGTACAGTGGTGCAGATTATGACATGTTTTCAAGCAATTGGGAGAGGGTTTGGCCGCTTGTGCGAGCGCACATCTCCTCCACATGCTTTAACACTCGTACTAGTTTGGCCCTGTTGTGATACCAGCTTCGAAAATGATAGGCTTGTGCGAATAGTGTATTTTAGGTTCGAAGCGAATAGCGATTTTGATAGAATAATTTCGAATCGATTTCGAATGGTATGAATGACATATAAAAAAGAGGGAATATTTAACATGACCTAACTAACCTGCAAAATATTTTTTTTTAATTGAAGTAGAGGCTCTATGCAGATGCCATTTTTTTTCTCGCTCAAAGAAAGTCGAAACAACCTTGAGTAGTAGTTTCGGTAGGATGCGAGTGATAACCTGTAAGGTACTTAACGTTTTAAAATTTATTATACTAGGAGCATATAAGCCGTCATAACAAGCTAAATAAAATGAATTGATTTGAGGGTAACATGTCTTTTAAAGGGGCCCTGCAACACTTTTTCAAGTAGTCATGGAGCCAGTAAGCATACTTGTTGCCTCACAAGTTTACCGCCACAAAGTTTCTAGAATCGGTCCAGTACGAGCAGAGTTAAAAAAATTTGTCGCACACTGCAATTGCATTCTCTCTTCTCGTCCCGACGAAATAGCTGGAAGCTAAGCAGGGAGGAATGGCACGGCGAAAGAAAATACGTCACACGAACGTCGTGACCTTGAGCACCTCTTTTTTTTCTTCAAATACGCGGCTATTTTGTGCGATCGCGCATGTACCCGTGGCGGCTCCGGTAATGATGAGCGCGCCATGCTCAAATGAGCCAATGGCAGTGACCAAAGCCATATAGTCCTTCTTGGCTTTGACAAGTGATTTTTGAACTTGTGTCATTTGCCGAGAGAAGAAAGCAATTTTTAGCTTTGAAAATTTATTGTGAATTACAGGCCACGTGCTGCGCTATATTGTTTGCCTCGCGTGTTTTCGTTAGCCTCGACAACTAATCGGCAGCATTTTCTGACCATGCTTGCAGGGCCTCTTAAAATTTGAAGGGGGGCTTCGCGGCAAAGCAAATTTTCTCTAATCTGTGCTTTCACGGCTTAGCACCCCTACATTGCAGTGAAACCACCTTTACAGGCAGTTACATGCTGATTAATATACATTTATTTGCTCATTGCGAATACTTCGAAAATATTCGATAATTTAAATTCGAATCAAAGCGAATTCGAATACTTAACAATTCGTTCGAATATTCGCACAAGCCTAGAAAATGATAACTGCAGCCACAGCTTGACGGCCAAACTTTGAAACTTTTTTAAGTAAATGGCAAATAGTACTTTAAAATAACGTACGGTGAGAGTGAAAGCATGCAATTGGGAGTGATGTCCGCTCATGGGAACAACCAAACTCTCTCCCGTAATTAGACATATGCCACGGCCGGCATCACTGTACAGCCTTGAAGTTTGCTTGGCCGAGCACTTGTGTGGTATAGTTCACATGAACGCGATAGGACATTGCTCACACTGCAATTGCCACGCATGCTGTCTGCATTCTGAAAATTATGAAGATTCGAACAGGCATACCGTCTTGACTCGATTGTAACTCTACCCCAATTGTAACATGAAGGGTGACTTTTCAATGTGTTCAAAAAAAAAAAAAAATAAAAGAGTCATGTGCATCATTCCACTTTCTAGACAACTTGAATTTGGGTATTTGATTGTAATGTGAGGGTAATATCAGGTTGCATAAATCTAAAAAAAAACCTCGTTACACTCGATTGATTGATTGATTGATTTGTGGGGTTTAACGTCCCAAAACCACCATATGATTATGAGAGACGCCGTAGTAGAGGGCTCCGGAAATTTCGACCACCTGGGGTTCTTTAACGTGCACCCAAATCTGAGCACACGGGCCTACAACATTTCCGCCTCCATCGGAAATGCAGCCGCCGCAGCCGGGATTTGAACCCGCGACCTGCGGGTCAGCAGCCGAGTACCTTAGCCACTAGACCACCGCGGCGGGGCCTCGTTACACTCGAGTAGATATGGTACATGCTCATAAGCAACAGCAACCAATTAGACAGCTGTATTTAATTGTTCCTATGTCCACTTATCAGAAGAAATTGAGAGTTTCAGAAGACAAAAATAGTCTACCAATGAGATTCTATAGGAATTGTTAAAATTATGCAGTAAAGTTGGTAGATTTCACCGGAAGAAGAGCCTCGATAACCTAGGAGAAAATATCAACACCTTTTCAAAATTCTAGCATTGCTTGCTCTTAGTAACAACCCTCTATTTGAGGAACCTACTTGACATTGTTTTACAGTTTAAAAGTGATTATACTGAATTTGTGTGTAATCAAACTCAGCCTGGAAATCCTTGCGAGACTTTTTTCTTGGGCAAAAGGAGGCTTAAACATGCAGAAATCCTGGAGGCACTGACAATGTGGCTAAAATGAGGGAAATTAAAAATTAAAATAGTTAAGCCTTCAATTCAAAGGGCAGAGATGCAAATGGGCTCTGAAACGAACCTGTACATTACGAAGAGTCAAATGCTTGAGCCTGTTTAGTGAAAAGAGGTCAAAAACGCTTTTTTTTATGCCCTCTGCCTTATTGCTTTAGTTCCTTCAGCATTTTGCACAGTAAAACAGATGCTTCCTAATCCGAAAGAACTTTTAATAGGTTTTCATATAGACTTGTAATTATTCACATTAATTAAAGGAAATACACTGATTTATTCAGCAGGACACATATCAAAACACACAAGGAACAATATTTTAAATCTGTAACCTAATCTTACAGGCATACATTAACAAGGTACAACAGTCAAATCCCACTGCAACGGGGCACTGAAACAAAGTTCGTTGCAGCAGAAATTTCATTGTAGCGATATTCGTAACACCGAGACTGTACTATGGAGTAATTCAAGTGTAAGACTGTTGGTAAGATTAAAACTTACATTGACGAGTAATGGCTTTTTCCATTCCTTCTTTCTTTTCCTTGAACGCCTGTAGAAAGACCACAGAGTGTGAATCATTCCCAATCATAATTAAGTGCACAGGGTATAGCAAAACTTAAAACAAAAATCCTTTCTTTTTCTTAGTAATGTGCATGTTTGGGCCAGAGTGAGAGAGAGAGAGAAACATCTTTTTTTAACAGCACAACGAGGTCATTGCACTGATCTTACCGGTGGCTCAAAGAGTGGTGACTAAAAGCTTGCCACGACTGTTTCGGCCCAGTTAATTACTTCTGCCTAAAGACGGTAGTCAATCGATGACTGTAGTGACTCCCAGGTTTTGAGGGAGGAAGCTGGCAGTATTGTTTTTGGTAGTGGGTTCCCCTTGCATTCCAAAAGAATGCAATTTTAGGTAGCCTTCATGCAGCTGCAATGTCGGCAGTTTGGTTTAATATCTTCCGCATAAATTTTAGACAGCCGATGTAGGCTGGGAATACATGTTAAAATTTGCCTCCAGATCATACTGGGTTCCCTTGAGAGATCTGCATGCAGGGCCGCATAAGTGTTGCGGTGCTCTTGGTAATAAGCTGTAACTTCGTTATACGTGGTGATCCCTTCCTGCGGAAAGTCCACTATGTAGCGGTACACGTCCCGGTTGATTAAACTTGGGGCTAAGCCGTGGGCCGCCTCATTTCCTAGATTCCCCTTGTGAGCGGGCACTCATATAAGTTGTACCCTATTGCCTCATTTGTTATTTTCGATGATGTTGGCAGCGATCGGCCCTACACACCCTATCATGAAATTCGTGCGTGCCCTATTAGAATCACTGAATATGTAATTAGTTTTCTGAATGGATGTGGCCACTATGATGGCAGCTTCCTCTGTCTCTAGTGCTGAGGTCGTTTTCATGGTGCCTGCAGTAATAAGTTCCCCACTGCCGGTCAAATGGTCACAGACATAACAGCTGTTAACAGTGTGTGGCTGAAATGCGAGCAAAAGGCGGATAAAAAAGTGACACTCCAATGCACACATGTTGAAGTTACCCCCGACTGTACTGCAATCTAGTATCTGTCTTAGGGACACAAAAACGAGCCCTCTTTGCACTTAAACACATCGGAGTGTGTGCGCGTGTTTTCTGCACTCATGGCCGCTCTCCTGACCAAATCATTTCTAAACTGGCAGCCGACAGCTATTTCAGTGCTGCTTGCCTTTAAGAAACTGAAGTATAAGCCTACACTTTATACACTCAGCCGGCAAGAAGTACGATCTACAATTGCTTATTCTTGCACAAAAGCCTTATTTGACGGGCCCTAACTACAAGTGAAACAAAGTTATGCATTAAGTTTTTATTGGTTACGAAAATTGATATGCAACAGAACCCCCTCCCCCTATTAGGGAAAGTTTAACAAATGCCAAAAATGTTTTTTTTTAATCTCTGTCAGAATTTTTCATTGTATGCTGTCTTTTTAGTTAGCACGATCGTATTTTTCATTGAAAAGTTATTACTACAAGCTTTGGCAGTTTTATAAATAGGCATATTGAGAACATAATGCGGAATATTTGTTGCTCTCTTGTACGCCTTTTTTCATATAAGAAAAGTAGGCAAAAAACGTTTTCTGGGTCGATATTCAGATCTTTAATAAAAATATGTACATTAACTAGAAAATCGAAAAATTAACTGAACGCAAGCAAAGACATGCACACATTTAGGTAAACAAATTTTCGGTACATAGCTTTAAAGGAGTATAGACATGATTTCGAGGCATTGCAAAAGGGACATCTTTTGTCTCCATGGTGTGCACTGTCAAAGTTCTCCACACACCAAAGCCAGACAACACATAAAAAATATTTTACTTTGATGTTAAAGTCCGTCGCCCGGAATTGTCAAGCCAGCCCCACCGCAATGGACATTATCACAAGTAAACATAGATCTAGGGTGGCTAGAATGGGGAGGTGTGATAAGTGCCCGCTAAAACCGGTCATTAAAATGCAGCGATGCCGCAAGGGGCACTGTACGCAGCGGCGCATGGCGTTGAGCAGATGATGTACATTGCATCTTTGCTTGTGCTCGAGAAACGTGGCTCGCACAATTTTTTGCATTTTACCCTTTCGAATGCTAATTGCTTTTTCTCAGTGTTTGCAATAATAAAGGGTTGACTTTGTCCCCTTTTTTGAAAAATAGCACTCCCATACATTATCATGCAGCAGGCTGCATACCGAGTAGCACTGCGCGCTAGTAATATCATTGGAGGCATATTGGGCATGCCAGTTAATTTGAGCACAGTGTCTGTTTTTTTTTAAATTTTTTTGGCTTCTGTCCCGACATTTTTCCAATTCTAATTGTTCATCACTGCAACTTATTGAATTTATATTCAATGCCTATTCGCATTGTTAAAAACTTGCTTGTTCTTTTGGATTTGTTACTGTTAATATACTGGTTGCTGGTCAAAGCATCATGTGTATGTTTCGTTAGCAGAAAAAAAAAAAAAAGGAATTAGTTGAAATAAAAACAGATTTGCACACGAAGCAAGTTTCTTTCATATATATAGTAAAAAGCAGTCTACACAACACAGGACTTAGCCTGCATATTGCTCCTTTTGGTTGACTTCATATAAAAATAAATGTGGCTATTTAAGCAGTAAAAGCGTGTAACTGATTGCGTTAACATAATGACATGCTCAGAGCAACCGACCAGTGACATTTGCTCAATCTTTTGCTACATGTATCTACAACAGGCTGCGTGGACGCAAGCCGCCTAAGTAAACGGTCAGTGTGTTCTCAGTTGACTGAATTAAGACAACCCGCCTCACAGGTAAGGGAGACCACCACGGTACCACGGCCAGGGATGTCATTTTCATTGATGTCAAGCTGCTTTGCGTAGTTCATTTGATGCGAAGAATATGCTCTATTGTCACATGTAGCGCACAATGTAACAGACAAGGTGGGCACCACTTATTCAGCATCAACTAACGCTATCACATGAGCCCATGTTTCAAATAGCTTTTTGCACGCCAGTGCTTGGAACCGATGATTTTTCCGTCCATGGCCTTTACCTATAGGGCTGTGCGAATAGCCAACTTTAGAACCGCATCCAATACGAATGAAATAATAGAAATGACAATAAATCAAATAAAAATACAAATTGATTATTATTTAAATTGTAAGCGAATAATTTTCAGAACAGTTTGCTTTAACAATATTTAATTTGTAATTAATAGTCAGAAACGTTAGGGAGTTTTCGAATAGGGTCTGTGGTACTTTGGGCACTCATCCAATTCTCGGTCCCTCCATACTGGCAGAAAGCGGTCACGTTTGTCTGAGGCAAAGCTTTTAGCGCAGGTTTCGGGCTCCTGTTAAATTCAAGAAATAGAGTCCCCAAAGCAAGACCCAAGCGCGGTTTGGGTTTTGCACATGCGCAGTGGCCTCGATGCTATTTCTTTGGGGCCCCAAAAGTTTGGGGCTTCGTACCCAAAAGTTTTATATTCAAAAACTTCCTATTAATAAAATGATCGTTACGATTATTCTTTACCGGCAGAAAATACCATTGTTAGGTTAACTGGGGTAAACTCATATAGGCAGTGAGAGCCAATGAAAATTTTTTAACTGTTCGCTCAAACACAACGGTTAATTCAGAATTCAAGGAGATACCTTGTCAGCACCTTTTAAATAAAACCGATCAAAACAAGTAAGTGCTGTTTCGTTCGAATATGTGTTGCTCCTGTGGGGTTTTTCCGCCAGTGCTAAATATTCAAAGAAATACTCAGCATTTTGAATGTGTGTACTCAACTGAATAGAACACCATTACATTTGTTATTCGAGCTTTTAGAACTTTTATAGACCCCTACCTACACACAAAGTTGCAGTCAGGAATGAAGCAAGAATGTTAAGCTTTCTTGATCGTTTTATGTGGCATCGTCCTCACTGCTCGAAAATGTATAATCCACGTACAAAAAAAAAAAAAGCCCACTTGAATGCCAAAAACAAAAAAAGGGGGGAGGGGAGGTGTCACTGTCGAGCGCTAGGCTTCTTTCCGAAAATTCGCGATGGCGGCGGCTGTCTCATGCAGCGCTTCTTGCAACGCCCCCAGAGAGATCGACGCGCAGAGGGACATTCTCTGGCAAGGGAAGCGCGCGGTGCTCCACACACCTCCCCCTTTTAGGCACCCAAACAGTTCACTGGGTTTGAGAATTTTTCATCCTACGTGCAGCCTAAATAGCAGAAATCACTATCAGAGTCTCTGGACTGTAATTCACTCATTTTACTTTATGTGATTCACATAGGACTGACAGCGAACCGGCTGTTATTGCTGGAATGTCGCGAGTTGCTGTCTTCCCATGACGTCAGACTCATTTAGACACGTCACTGCAAAGCCGCGCTCTCAATACCAAACCGAAATTGTTCTTTTAAGGTAGCAGTATTAAAGATATATTCAGTGACTTCCCAAGCACCACAGCACTCTTTTTAGGGTTCTCGACATCCATGTTTTTATTTAAAGTAACAACCTAAAAATATTGAAAATTCGTGTCACTACTGCTTTAACTCTTTCATTTCCACGCCTATTCAAATTGATCACTAGTGATCGACGCTTTTAGACCATCGATTTCAACATGTTAAATTTGTTTCTCGTGAACCCAGCACGTTTTAGTAGTTAGCCCAGCCACTCAACTTCCAGAATCAATTTAAATTTGCCTGTTTCGGCAACATAGCAATTTTCGACAGACCTTTGCGCGAACTAATGTGCGTGTATTGTTGGAAAAAGCACTAGGCTGACGAACTTGAAAGTAGTGTGTGCTCCTCGTGATTATGCTACAGTAACATTGAAGTTCTGTAGTAAAAAGTACCTTTCCAGCATATAACGAAATAAAGTGTGAGCTTCACAATTTGACTATGTTGAGCAGTAATAATTGCCAGAAATTTATGCCAGATATTCAATAACGAGTCGTTTCTAGGAGTCATGAAAAATTTGTTCAACAAAAATATTTACGAAGGTCCGCCACGTGTGTAAAGTACAGAGGTGGCCTTCTCCGACAGTTTCCAGCAGTTTTGATTTTA